ATTTCTGAGAGGGTTATGAGGTAGTCAGTCCGTCAGCAACTATTAACTAGCCTGAATGACCTTGACGAAATGGCGATCGCAGAGATTTTAGCCGATGTCAACACCGTCTAGCAACTACGTTCTGTATTACTTATAAATGTGCAAAGATTAATAGACTGCAGAGATGACAATTATATAAGTGATATACTGCCTGTTATGCTTGCGCATCACTGAGAATTATGTCGCGGTTACGCATCTTCAATTACATTGTGCTGTAGCTTTGTCCGGTAGGAGTCACGAGCTATCAAATGTTCAAGTTTCAAGTACGTAAGAGTTTTTTTATTATATATGTTAAATCGTATTTATTTGTATCACATTAATAGATCTGGGTCAAAGCGTTCGCTGTAAATTTTCCCGGATTTGATCCCCGACAGCATGAATGAAATTTGTAATTGCAATTTTCGTCAACACGCATTGGGGAAGCACGGCGGGCATTTCCTTGCCCTAAAACCCTCTCAGAAATAAAAAAGGAGTCCTGTGCCCAGTAGCGGGACTTGTATAGCCAATTACTTTACTTTGAAGCAATATTTATATTCGTTTCAGATATAGAAGGGTACCTTATGCTGACAAAAATATCATGTGGAGGCGACGAAAACGTAACACATCTTTGTACCTAGATAAAACGTTCGAAAGATTGTCAGTCATGTCATACGCCACATTTTCTATAGAGCATAGAACATTGCAGATAGGGCAAAATAAAAAATAATCCAAAATATTATGGGAACTATTTATTAATAATATATACATTTATAGGTATTTATAATAAAAATAATGAGCAAGCTGCAAGGTTCAAGTAATAATGTTTTTTGTTAACACAATCGTAAAATTCCTATTTTAATTTTTACCAATGTTTAATTGATGAAACGTAGTCAAGATCACTTCATATAAAATATATTTAATTAAAATTGACACGTGACCTATTTGGCCTTCTACTTACAACTCGGCGGAAATTTGAAAAGAAGATTTTGTCTTTTCACACAAGTATTGTTTACAACTGGCGTGGTTTCGAATAGCGTGATTAAGTGTCAGCGGTATATAATCAATTAAATACTGAACTTTTTTGAAATTTATTTTTTTGTTTATTTTTGTAATATCTTCTTAAAAACTGACGCCATCTCAATATTTTATTATTTACTTTTTTTTGTAACGCATAAAGATAAGTTAGACTAAGTTAGATTAACTTGGATGAGTTTATAATTTTTTTTAATTTTATCACATTATTTCCGCAATAAAGTATTACCTTGTCTACTACGGCGTGACTGTATGATGTTATAGTGAGTCACCGTCAGTTGCTAAGTGGCCCTAAATCATTATATGTATGTATAGACATACATACATACATTTTTTGATTTTAATATTTATGTTTTTTTGAATTTTGATTGATTTTTTGAAACCTCGTAAAATTATTTTTTTCCATACCAATTGATGGGCCTGAGTATAATGCCAGTTATGCTCTTTGGCTGAAGTTATTTTTTATTTTATGCTCAATTGCAGACAAAACAATATTGATTGCGCATTTCTAAAAATTTTACCTCTTCTCCTTCTAATAATAGGTCCTGCACCTAACACGACGAAATAGTTATTATTATCTATAAGACCATTTGCGGAAACAGTTTTGTTAACAGTTATGAGTGTAACATTTTATCAGCTGCTTTGTTTACAGTACCTTGAGCAACACTTTGCCGGTTTCTGTACAGAAAATGATGCTGGCTTTGCAAATAGGGATGGCCGCTACCATTGAATATAATACCCGCTATGTTACACTTATTTACATAGAAATTAACTTTAATTATCATTTGCATAAAATTCTAAATAGCACTTTTTACACAAGAAAGTAAACTTTTAGATCAGTCCATCTTGTTTTTCACTAATTAAGTAAAAAGTAAAACAAACCAATAGGGCCGTGATTTAAAATTTCTTGCAACTTTTTATAGAAAAGCATGACCTTATCATAATATAATAGTCAATCATTTAGCCATGTGATAAAACTTTTAAGTGTGCCAGTCAAACATTAATGATGATATTCGGGTCATTATACTGGAAATAGTCTTTTAAATATTTTGTAGTACAATCTTCAGTATTATTGACCGTGTATATGACTTTTATAATTCTATGTTATTTTTGATGAAAATTATTATTGCAGATAAAAGCCCTTTCACATTTATTTTAGTCTCGAATTAAATTAATCAAAATGAAAATAATAACTTTGGCTCTTTATAACTGAATCCAAAGATCAGTTATAAAGCACTGACTTGAAATTATATATGTATTGGCATTTTTTTAATTCAGTGAACTTTTTTAAGATTTTGTTGAAAATGTAATTCTTGGTGTAAAGCTTAGACGTGATAATAACTGTAAACAATAGAATAACAAAATAATGAAAACATTTTCATTTACATACAAAACATTTACAAAAATACTTGCTTTATAACCTAATAAATATTATTTGACCATAATAAAA